ACCACAGACTGCCAGAAGAACAAACAAATCTGTCTTGGAGGAAGTACAGCCAGAATGCTTCTTAGAAGCAAGGATGGCGAGACTTCGTCTCACATACTTTGGACATGTTATCAGGAAGGACCAGTCCCTGGAGAAGGACATCATGCTTGGTAAAGTACAGAGTCAGTGAAAAAGAGGAAGACCCTCAACGAGATGGATTGACACAGCGGCTGCAACAATGGGCTCAAGCATAGCGACGATTGTGAGGATGGCACAGGACCAGGCAGTGTTTTGTTCTGTTGTACATGGGGTCGCTCTGAGTTGAAACCCACTCAACGGCACCTAACAACAACAACAAGCCGTTCAGTGGTCCAGGCAATCCCTCCAAGGCTAAGTGTGAGGGAGTAGAAAGGAAAGAGAGAGGAAGGGGTTTCAGGCTAGTAAGGGATGTCTGGCTAGCTATGAAAAGCGCTACACCCTCAAGAACTTGAAGATCACGGGCAAATCAGCATCAGCTGATGCCCAGGCAGCATCAGCGTTCCCAGAAGAGCTCCAGAAATTCATAAAAGAGAAAGCTTACCTTCCAGGGCAAGTCTTCAGTTGTGATGAAACTACCATTTACATAGCGTTTACATTGCATTAGGTATTATAAGCTATCTAAAAATGATCTAAAGTAAGGGAAGGATGTGCGTAGCTTATATGCAAATACTACGCCATTTTATATAAGGGACTTGAGCATCAGAGGATTTTGGTGTCCTTGGGCGTCCTGGAACTAATCCTCCACGAATACCAAGGCATGACTGTAGTCTATTTTAGAAAGCTCTCTTGGGCTGAAGTAAGGATAACAGGATGAAGGCAGAGGAGGGAATGCAACCTAAGAAGCAGATGCTGCCATCAGAAGCAGATGAGGTGGAAAAGAGATGACACGGTTAAGAGTTACTGAGAGGTGGGTTCTGCGAGATCTAATGGCCAATCAGATAGGGAGGTTGAAGTACGTGGAAATATTCAAAATGGCTCCCTAGAAGGGAAACAGGAAGAATAACAAATTGTTCCATGAACGTCATCTTGGAACAAATCCACAAGCAGTTGCTCCTCTCATAGACCAGAATGGTCAGGTTTGAAATCTCTCCCAGTTTTCCCTGTCTACACTCTGAGATCATTTGCCTTTGTGTTACTGGCCATGCCAAGATATCTCCGTTCTAAAAAATATATTTGAGTCAGCCTGAAGCATGAGAAAGTTTGCTAATGGCCTGTTTGCCATTTTTAATGGGACAGTTTTGAAATAGGGTTTCTCTGCATAACAAATCACTTTAAATTGTGAAGTGGTCGTAACACCAAACCAAACCCGTTGCCGTCCAGTCGATTCTGACTCATAGAGACCCTATAGGACAGAGTAGAATGGCCCCATAGGGATTCCAAGGAGGGCGTGGTAGATTCATAGAGCTTTTATTCTGTTCATGTTGCATCATGGTATTTTTTTTTTATTTATGTTTAAGAATTTTGCCATTTGTTTCTATGATTTGTTAGCAAAATACCATCAGGTGACATTTCAAACATATGAAAGAGTTTAAGAGGAATTAAGAAAACTGGAACTTGCATGGAATGTTTATTAAAGAAACTAATAATTGCAATGCTAATGTAGCTGTAGATAGCATGGTGTTTTCCTGATTTATTTATTAATTTTGCAGGGGTAGCTATGTCTGTATATATTCCACATATTCACCACACGCAAACACATCACACACCACCTCATTGCTAATGCACTCTCCTCCCCCATTATTTTTCACAACTCAGTTACCAAAACAACACAAACAAAAAAAAACCAAACTCATTGTGACCCTATAGGACAAAGGAGAACTGCACCAGACGCTTTCCTAGCAGCAGCTGGTGGATTTGCACTGCCACCTTTTAGTTAGCAGCCGAGATCTTAACCACTTCGCCACAGGGCTCCACAACTAAGTTAAAAGGTAATTAATCACTCCAACCATAGGTAATTCACCTCTTAACTTCGTATAAATATATTTTCATCTGCTGAGTATGCTTACAAAGAGCTGGGCCAGAACCCATTGGGCTTGGTCACAGTACCAAGATGGCGGTCTGCTTTGCCCCACCAGTGCAATCTTCCTTTCATTGCAAGACACGTGATCAACTTTAGGTGGGAAAAACAAAAACCCTCAAACTGCAAAGAAATTCCCAAGATAAACAGTACAAAAGATTGAAAAAGGAAGCCCTTACATTTGAGACAGAATTGGATTATTTCTTGGAAAGGCTTTCAAGAAAGGAATCTGAGGGCAGAAGGAGAAGGATCCTTTTGTGTGGCTTACTGCAAATTGACAGAAGAAATAAAAGGAAAAAGGGCTCTGGCAATCTGCTGTTAACAAAATCTTTAATTTGAGCTGAATCTTCTGAGGCTAGGGAGCTTCAGATAGCATCCTTGTACTAGAGAGAGCTTCACTGCAATGCCTTGCCCACCCTCCGGTTCCCTGGATGGGCGATTGTTCTCCTTTCCTGAATCTGGCATAACGCTGAATCAGAAGGTTTAGTTTAGTCCATTAGAAAAGAAGAATGAGTGGGGGATATGACCTTCAGGCCATTTGTGTTTCTGTTCCTCCAGCCTTGGGCATATGGAAGTCAGACCCATTGTCACTGCGTTGCTTGATGAAAAATGTCCTTTACCAGCACAGAAAGACAGAGCTTTAGGTAGAAAATTCTACATTGCTCAGGAACTCTGGACAATGCTTTGAATCATGTACATTTTTTAAAAAATATTTTATTTTATTTTTTTGGTGAAAGTTTACACAGTAAATTAGGCTCCCATTAAACAATTTTTTGTACAAACTGTTCTGTGACATTGATTACAATTTTTGCAATGTGTCAGCATTCTCATTATTTCCATTCTGTTTGTTCTGTTTCCATTTATCTAGCTTCCCTGCCCCTCCTTGCCTTCTCATCTTTGTTTTTGAGTAATTGTTGACTATTTGGTCTTGTACAGTGGATTGTGTAAGAGAACACATTCCTCATGGGTGATATCGTTTATTTTATAGGTCAATATATTATTTGGCTGAAGAGAGATCTCCAGGAGTAGCTTCAGTTCCAAGTTCAAACGGTATCTTGGGGCAATAGTTTCAGAGGTTTCTCTAGTCTCTACCAGTCTAGCTAGGAATTTGAGTGTTGTTCTACACTTTTCTCCCGTTCTATCCGGGGCCTTCTATTGTGTTCCTGGACCGAACGGTGGGTAGTGGTAGCCAGGCACCATCTAGTTCTTTGGTCTCAGGCTAAAAGAGGCCGTGGTTCATGTGGGTGTCTTCTGTCTTCTGCCAATTAAAATTTTTCTGAGAGTTCACTTTCTGGCATCAAAAGCATTTTATTTTGGTGGTTCACCCTGCAGTCTGTGGGATCTGGAGATTCTGAACTGGGTACTTTTTTGGTCAAAGTTTTGCAAAAGTTGTAGTCAGTATAGCCCATGCTGGAGGTTAAGCTGTGGAGGGGGACTGAGATGGGAGTCAGGTGGATGTAAGTGCTTTGGAAAGCATATGCAAGGATTTGCTAATACACTACACTTGGTCAATTGAAAACATTTTCAAATGCCCCTGGGTGCTGGTGAAAGAGCTAAGTATAGGAATAAATTCCACATGTGAGAAAACTCAAACTAGCATCAAACAACAGACTTGAAAATATTTGGAGTAGGCCCTGTCTACAAGGCTTACCAAAAGACAGGCAAAAAAATCCCCAGTTGACCTTAGATCAACTTCAAGACTCAGACACCTTGGTCAATTATGTGTTCATTATAGAGATGTTTTAGATTTGGTCCATTTATTCATGAATACTCAGTGGTAAGCGCCAGTCTACCGTCTGAAAGGTTGGCAGTTCAAACTCACGCAGAGGCACTTCAGAAGGAGGGCCTGGCTATCTGCTCCCAAAAGGGCACAGACTTAAAAACCTTGTGGAGTAGTTCTACTCTGTACACATGGGGTCACCATGAGTCAGAATTGACTTGATGGCAACTAACAACAACATCGACTGTTCCTTGCTATGTGTCCATTATTCAAAAAAGGTGCCAAAGCATTTTGCCATGCAAACAGGCTGCACAGCTATGGGGAAAGTTGGTGTTGAACTTGTGTGAGAAGGGATTGGGATCTCCAATGTCATTATAAACTAAGGACATAGGCCAGTTCTCACTCACATGCTGAGATGGAAAGGGCCCTGATGTCAGGAGACACACCTCAGGGCTAGAGTGTGTGGCTGCAGCCAGAGAGAGAACCAGAGTCACAAAAGTGGGTCAGTCCCTGATTAAGGGAAGACAAGTGCAAAAAAAACACTCATTGCCATTGAGTTGATTCTGACTCACAGAGACCCTGTAGGACAGAGTAGAACTGCACCACAGGGTTTCCAAGGAGCAGCCGGTGGATTCGAACTGCCAACCTTTTGATTAGTAGCCAAGCTCTTAACCAGTGTGCCACCAAGGCTCCAAAACAAGTGCAGCAGAGTAATAATGATGAATTTGCTAATATTTACTGAGTGCTTAGTACTTTTAACTTGCCTAAGGCCCCACAGCTGGGAAGTGGCAGATTTAAGATTTATACCCAGTGTCTTAGGCTGGATTCTCTAGAGAAGCAAAGCCAGTAAAGCATATAAATATATACAGAGAGATTTATACCATGGAAATGGCTCACGAGGTTATAGAGTCTGAAAAGTGCCAAGTCCACGGGTCAGGCTGGAGGCTTCTCATGACTCATGTAGCTGCAGAGGCTGGTGAAGTCAAGATCAGCAGGTCGGACAGCAGGCCTCTGGCTCACAGGCTGTGGAGGTTGATGAATCCGAAGATCAGCAGGCAAGACAGCAAGTAAACTACTAGCATAAGTCCCAGGAACCGGAGGTCAGATGAACAGGAGCCAGCAGCAGGATCCAGAGTGAGCAAAACCTTACGAGCTTTGCCAGAAAGTCCACCTATGTTGGATGCAGGCCACACCCCCAGGGAAACTCCCTTTCAACTGATTGGCTGCTCATAACAGATCTCATCATGGACGCGATTGCATTATATCAGATCTCATTATGGAGGGGATTACATCATTATACTGCCAAGCTACATCATAACTGCCAAATCACTGAGAATCATGACCCAGCCAGGTTGACTCACAACCTTACCATCACACCCAGAGTCCCTGATCCAGAGCTCTGGCTCTTAACTATCACTCCACTAGCTGGGCCAGTGGGGATCCTGGGTTTCCTTGGCTAGTGTAAGAACTCTTGACACAACTTTGCATTTAGACTACTGGAACTGAGTGGGCCATTGTCAGGGCCATTGTGTACAGGTGTGCAGGTGTGCATTGTCAACTCTAAGGATGCCGTTCACAGACTGCCACTCCCACCCCAAAACTGTGCAGTGGGCGAACTGCCAACTGTCCTTTATGGCTCTGCCACTTATAGTCTTCTACTATTAGAAGTGAGATACCTGGACTAAAGAGAGGCAAAGGACTTTGTCTCCAAGTCCATTGGCTAGGGAGAAAAGTCAGGATTGGCCTGGAAAGACATCTCTACCCTCTGGCCATTTCACTGCAACAAATTCTGCCCAGTGTCCTGTGCTATGGGCTCCTCTCACAGCTGATAAATACATCAAATGTATACACAGGATTCTGGGAAGGAACAAAAAACATCTGGTCTACCCATATCTTTCCTGGAGAAGCCAAGGAATGGGGTTGTCTTCAGTGTGGATGAGGCTCCTGAACTGCCTGCTGCCCAGGAAGCAGACGAAAGGAGAAAATATTCTGAAACAAGTGACATTCTAGAGGCAATTCATTCATGCTGCAGGAAGACCGGAAATGCTGCCTTAGGAAAATGAAATCCATGCGTGTTTGGGTTTGTGTCTCACCGAGGAGCTGGAGACCCTATTCTGCAGGCAGGGCCTGACTGTGAGCAGCTAGGAGGCTGTGTGCTCCCATCCCAGGACCTGCATAAGGGCCAGAGGAAGTTTCCTCAGCGGCTGAGGCGGCATTGTGGAGGGGCCTTCGGGTCTTATCTGCAGATGGCGAGCGGAACCAGGGACTAAAGCCTCCAAGGCCTGGATCCTCCGGCAGCTTGTGGGTCGGCCCTGCTGTCTGTCCTGAGGGAGGCAATGATTCTCTAGGGCCCTTCAGAAACTTGCAAAGAAGGCCCGGCGCCGCTGGTTGGCTCTTCACCGATTCTCACTTCCCAGCTGTCCTCACAGCTGGTTTACAGACCTGAGAAGAAGCTGTTGTGCACAGCTGTTTTAGGCAGCAGCGGCAAATCAGGAATGAAGAGAGGCTTGGTCAGCCCCAGGTCTGCCACCAGCTGTCGGGATAGCTTGGACTGGTTCTTTTACCGCTTGGGGCCTCAGTTTTGTCATCTGTAAAATGGGGGAGGGGAAAGGAAGATGAGACTAAAGTATCTTTTCCCTTCCAGCTAAATCCCAGTATTCTATGAAACTCAGAGAGTGCTTTGAGAACGCTGCTGAATTTCTGTCCATAGCAAATCCATTTTCACTATTATCAATTTTTACAGAAGCCAGTCTTCTAGAATAACGCCAAGCCAAACATTGGTGAAGTCGATAAGTAGACCTTCTAGACAATTCGAGAAAAAACAAACAAAAAGGAGTGACAGACGGAGGGCCCAGGCTACAGTGTGAGGTTTTAGGTCTATTAGAAACAGAATTATCATCTCTTGTCTCAAACCCAACCCCAAACACCAAATTCAATTTGTACTTACTTTCTAACAGTTATATGGGCACAGCCCAGCACGGAGAGAAAGCACTAGAAAAGAGTCCGGAACCCTGGTTGGAGCCCGGCTCTGTCACCGTAGTGGACACACTAGTCCATGTCCCGGCCCTCCCCTCCTCAGACAAGCTGCTCCACAGTCCTGGCGGGCTGGGTAGGGACTTTAGGAGCAGATGGGGACTTCCCAGGGAGCTGGAGAAACTTGAACTTCGGAGCCTCACACTTGTATGGGTCCCGGTAAGCTGAAGAGTTCTAGGTGAAAAGCGTCTCATAAATTCCCTAAGGAGATCTTAGAAGAAAGGGCCCTACATCTTCAAGACGCCAGTAACTTATTGTGGTTTCTCATCTTAAATATTCACTTTTGTACCTAATTCTGGTATTAGTCATTTTATATTCATGGTTTTATGTCAATTCTTAAAGTAGGTTCCCTAAATTGTATAAGCTTCAGTCCTCACAAAAAACTCAATGTGGCCCTGATTGTTTATCTATCTACCCTGGTAACCACAGCTAACGGGACCAGGGAGGGATGGGCCAGTCAGATCCTCACTTCCGGGAAGTTGTGACTGGAGCACAGCCGGTGGCGTGCGGAGCCACCAGCATCCCTGTCAGACACCAACTGGGAGAACATGCAGGGCCCAGGGTCGGCATAAGTGAGACTGCTGAAAAAGGAAAACCGAACAGATGAGCAGAGACAGGAAAACGTGAGAGACCAAGGAGCGAGAGAGAGACGTCCATTTCTAAAAGTTTGAAGACCCTGGTTCCAGTCCCTTCTGGAGCCCTTTGGCACTTCCTGCCCTGAAGCCTTAACCTTAACCCTAACCTTGTCAGAGTGAGTTTGCAACCAAACAAACAAAAAACCCGTTGCCATCGAGTCGATTATGACTCTTAGTGACCCTATAGGACAGAGTAGAACTGCCCAATAGGGTTTCCAAGGAGTGGCTGGTGGATTTGAATTGCCAACCTTTATGGTTAGCAGCCAAGCTCTTAACCACTGCTCCACCAGGGATTGCAAGCAAGCAGTCCCTAACAACCCTTATCTCACTGTGACTTTGTGTAAGTGACCCTATCTCTTGATGCTTCGATTTCCTTATCTGAAAATGTAGCAGTCAACATATGTATTTCTAAGTTTCTTTTCTAGACCCTGATTATATGAAAACCTTCTCTAAATCAAAGTAGGATTAAGCCACAGTGGACCCCTTTACTCCCCCAATTAACCAGATCCAGCTGTCACCAAACCGCGTCAATCAATGTGAACACCCCAATAGCAGTTGTCTTAGCAAAGACTTCTGTCCCTACCAAAAACCAGGGGTACAGAATGAAAACACAGACCTCAGATGATCAGGGTGCAAATTCAATAAATCAGCACTCAGTTCTGCCAAAAAATGAGGCAGGGAGCTGGCCCAGGCAGAGCGCGCCCACACCCACACAGATCCTGTCTCTCCCTGCGCGTCACAGCGGCCACTTCATCTATTTATAGCTGCAGTGTGCCTGTCGGGAGAAGATGCCGAGGCTCCAACAGTGCCCTGGTTCAGAGCTTCTCCTTCCATCCCACCTTCCGGTGGCCCTGACCCCTGGACGTAAGGAGAATGTTAGTGATTATGTGGAATTCATTTGGAGTTTCCACGGCAGGGACCCTCAGACAATCTTTGTCTGTGTCTAATGCATGTGGCCTGCCACCTGTGCTGTTGTCTGCCACAAAGGGACGCTGGATGGGTGGCCAAGGTAGTGTCTCTTCGTAGCCACTGAGCTACAAGGGAAAAGTGAATAAACTCCAGCTGAAAGGAATTAGATTAGACAACAAATCCTTCTTTAGGATGGGAGGGCAGCGGTGTGTATTAAAAGGGACAATGTGTTAGCTAAATCTCAAGGTATTTTCAGAAAGAGCAGACAGCTTCTTTGTGGGTATGGTTGGAAACGCATTCCTGCTTAGAGGCCCAGGAATTGATTTAATGAAATTTCAGTGTCCCTTCCAGGCCTTAACTGATGGCCGGGTCTCTCTCAGAGGGCCCCCCTGCCTCACTGCACTAAATCCCTGTCAACTGCATCAAGGTACTGTCCACTGTAGGTGGTGCAAATGGTTAAGCACTAGACTACTAACCAAGAGGTTGGTGGTTCAAACCCACCCAGAGGTGCCTTAAAAGTAAGTCCTGGCAATCTGCTTCTGAAAGGTCGAAGTCTTGGAAACCCTGTGGAGCAGTTCTACTCTGCACATTTGGGGTTGCCATGAGTCAGAATCGACTCAATAGAACTCACAACAACTCTTATAATTACCTGAAGAGGTCCATCCTTTAGGATCTATGACTTTACTCTTTCTAATCAAGCCCTACTACCAACCCTCTGCACTACCGCTATCCACTCTCCCTTAGGAGAGGAGGCCTAACAAGAGTCTGGATACTATAAACAAGTGGAGAAGTCTCTTCCAGTTGCTGTCCAGTTGATTCTGACTTACAGCGACCCTATAGGACAGAGTAGAACTGACCCCTAGGGTTCCCAAGGAGCGGCTGGTAGATTCGAACTGCCCTCAGATGAACAACAAAGTCTTCCAGGGAAGCGGTTCCTCCTGCTTGATCTCCCAGCCACAGGAAGTAGGAAAGTACTGATTGGTAGATCCCGGTGACTAATCAATGAACATCGGGTCTCTGGATCCTGAGGAAACTTAGCTGTGACACTCAATCCCATGATGCTCCTGGCTCCACTCACAAAGCATCAGCTTATCCCATTAGTCTCTTGTGGGATGTCTGAATTTTAAAGAGCTTTTTGGGAGAGAGGAGGACATGGGACAAAGTTATGGTACCCTTCATCTCCACTGGAGGAGCATTTAACAATAAGACTGTAGGCATTCTCAGAAGATACCAGTTGCCATCAAGCCGACTCTGACTCATGGCGACCCATGTGTGTCAGGGAAGAACTGTGCTCCGTAGGGTTTTTAATGGCTAATTTTTTGGATGTTGATTGCCAGGCCTTTCTTCCAAGGTGCGTCTGGGTGGACTCGAGCCTCTAACATCTGGTTAGGAGCCAAGTGCATTAATCATTTGTATGACTCAGGGCTCCTCTCAGAAGATACTGCGTCTTTATCCAGTATATGTTCATCAGCTGTTTGTAGCTGCAAAATGCCTTTAGCCACTCACTTTCTCTGCATCCCCACAGTCATTTTCCTCATCCAGGGGAGGGGAACCAAATGGTACCAACGTTTCTTCGTGTTGTTTTGTACTTTGTATACATTATCTTGTACGAGTATTCCCCAGATTTCTGCAGCAGCCTTCTAAATGATCTGTCAGCTTCACACACCACCCTCTACATCCATACTCCACATTGATGCCAGATTGTCTTTCTAAAGCATGGTCTCTGTTTGAAAATGTTGGCAGCTCCTCATTGCGCTGTGGGTAAAATTGAAAAGGTGTAGCTCTCTACTGCTTGTTCTGGCCTCCCCTTCTAGCATTTCTCCAACCATCCCCTACAGAGATCCCATAGAAGAGCTTTGCCGCACACTCTGGACTCAGAATGTGTTCTCGTGCCTCGTGGGCTTTGCCTGCACTAGACCACTTGCTTAAACTTTCTCCCTACCCTACTCATGTGGGAAACTCCTTGTTTAGCAAGACTCGGCTCAAATATCACTTTCTCTATACCTTTCTCTAACTTTCCCAGTAGAATTAACTGGGCCTTCACCTAGTCTTACAATACTTTAGATAAAAGTCCCTTATGGAATAGCTTATATTTTATTATAGATTTGTGATGTGTTACTCAGGGTAGGCCAACTGCTATGACAAACAACTCAAACATTTCCATGACTTGACACAGCAAAGCTTCATTTCTTGCTCATGCAACAGTCCAAGAATTGAGAGTTCCTCCTGGAGGCTCTTCTCCAAGTGGTGACTCAGGGATCCAGGCTTCTTCTATTTTGTGTCTCTGTTACATAGATATTACTTGGAGTCCTTCACTTCCAGCCACATAGAATGAGAAAAAAGAGCATGGAGGATAGAGTGGAAGGATTTTTAGGGGCCAGGCCCAGCGAATCTGCAACTACCATCCCGGGATAATGGGACTTCAATCATATCTACTAACTGTACTTCCCGCAGTACTCTCAACCTACGACACACTGGTTTGTTGTTGTTGTTGTTAGGTGCTGTCAAGTCGGTTCCGACTCATAGCGACCCTATGCACCACAGAACAAAACACTGCCTGGTCCTGCGCCACGCTCACAATCATTGTTATGCCTGAGCCCATTGTTGCAGCCACTGTGTCAATCCATCTCGTTGAGGGTCTTCCTCTTTTTCACTGACGCTCTTCTTTACCAAGCATGATGTCCTTCTCCAGGGACTGATTCCTCCTGACAACACGTCCAAAGTATGTAAGACGGTCTCGCCATCATTCTTTCTAAGAAGCATTCTGGCTGTACTTCTTCCAAGACAGATTTGTTTGTTCTTTTGGCAGTCCGTGGTATATTCAATATTCTTTGCCAACATCACAATTCAAAGGCGTCAATTCTTCTTCGGTCTTCCTTATTCATTGTCCAGCTTTTGCATGCATAGGATGCGATTAAAAATACCATGGCTTGGGTCAGGCACACCTTAGTCTTCAAGGTAACGTCTTTGCTCTTCAACACTTTAGAGGTCTTTTGCAGCAGATTTGCCCG